GCTGTCCCGCCCCCGCCGGCCGCAGGACCCGCCTTCCATAGGGCCCCGGGGCTGTCAGTCCGCCCCCAAAAGACGCGCGGGCTGTCGCCCCGCGTGTCCGGATTGGTGGCCGCGCGCCCTCCATGCAAATAAGACCCCGCCCCGTTGATTTGCATCTCCGCCTTAATGTAACCTCCGCCTCCTCTCACCAGCCCACGTGTCTGGCCTTGGCCCTTTGTGGGGGTCGGAGAGACAGGATGGGGAAAGCTGACCGACACCCTCCACACGCTCTCCCTCACCTCAGAGAAATTAACGCCTAAACAAGCTAGTTGACTTAACATCCGTATCGCCTCTCTGAAACCTCTGTCCCTTTTATCTGCCCACCGGGCCTGCCCTGAGGATGGAGACGGACAGGCCAAGTCACCCTCAGAAAATGACCCCATGAAGTCAAAGATGCCCAGCCAGGACTGGAGAACCCCACCTCAAGAACCAATTCAACACACAACACCTCCCCAGTGACTGAGGGCCATGCTTTCCTGTGGCTTTCTACCTTTCAAACATGAGATCCCAGGCAACTGAGACAGGAAGCAACCTTAAAAATGGCCCTGCCTCTTCCCCATACCCCCAAGAAAAAGGTAGGCCTGCTAAGCAAACTCAGTTTCGAGAGCCCCCCAAACTAGATGGCCTTCTCCAGTCACTCCCATAGAGTCATGAAGGGCTACTCCATTTTTGAGGAAACGGAACCCCAAAGTCTTATAGCTGTTGCCTATACCATAGCTAAGCCCATCGCTATCAATTTGATTCTGACTCATAGCAACTCTATAGGGCAGAGTAGAACTACCCCACAGGGTTTCCTAGGCTGTAGTCTTTAAGAAAGCTGACTGCCACATCTTTCTCCTGCGGAGTGGCTGGTGGGTTCCAACTGCTGACCTTTCCGTTAGCAACCGAGTGCTTAACCACTGCACTACCAGAACTCCTTAGTTACCTATGAGACCTAATAATTACCTATGGAAACCTAGTTCCCTATAGCTAGTTCAGACCTTACATCTCCTAGTTCCAAATCTGCCTTCTCTCTACTATATGGTATATTTATGAAGTGCCTCTACTACAAGTCACCATGCTTGGTGGTATTCTAGTTGTTCCCAGCCTTCAAAAGGTGCTGGCTGCAGATGACACAAATAGAGCCAACACTAAAACCTCCTCAAGGGGAAGGGACCTATCTTAGTCATTTTGTGTATCCTTAGTACCTAGCAGCTTCCCCTCTTAGCAGCTGCTGGGAAGAGTTCCTGGGACAATTTATTCTTACATTAATTTAGCAAGACAATGTCGATTAAAACTACTCTTCATACTAACACCTACTTATTTAAGCATTTGTTGTTAGTTGCCGTTGAATCAATTCTGACTCATAGCAACCCCATATGTGTCAGAGTGAAACTGTGCTCCATAAAGTTTTCAAGGCTGTGACCTTTCAGAAGCAAATCACCAAGCCTGTCTTCTGAGGCACCTCTAGGTGGGTTTGAACCGCTAACCTTTCGGCTAGTAGTCAAGCATGTAACCATTTGTGCCACCCAGGGACTCCATTAAGCATCTAGTATGCTTTATAACAGCAAGTATTAAGCACTGTGCTATATGTGCAGCGTCTACAGAGGTGAGAAGACATTGCTTCAGCCTAGGAGACAGTGACATCCACATAGCCTGTCAGTGCTCCTCGTGTTACAGGGCTGTGACAGATGTCTGTATAGGACACAGTGGAGGGTCCCCAGGAGGAGAAGTCAGCTCTCCCTGGGGGAGGCAGGGAAGGCTTCATTAAAGAAGTGACACTGGAGCTGAGTCTTAAAAGATGGAGTAGGTGTTTGCCAGACGGACACGGAAGGGCATGGGAGAGGAAGGACAGGGACTCCCAGGCAGGGGAGGGATAGTATGAGCAAAAAGCAGGCAGCCCTGGAAAAGTCTGGTGCTTGAGGGAACACCGAGGACAAATCTGCAGGACCGTGTGGCTGCGTCACATGCTCGGGGACCAGGCTCTTCCAGGAGGAAGACAGAAAAGCCCGGGAGGCTGCCAGGCTGTGTTGTAACACACCGCAGCAAACAACAACAGGCCCAGTCGATACAGCTGCAGCCTTTTTTTGTTGTTGTTCCTAGGCTGGAGTCTGTGGGGAACAGGCAGTTCCATAGTTCTGATGGCAGCCTGGCTGGCCCCACCCACTCCCTCAGAAAACCACTCCTGTCACTGCACTTGCCCTCCTTGGCATTTAGAAACTCGTGTGCTTGCATTTTCCCTAAACATTGCTGCCCTTCAGAATCCAAAGATGACGTGGGCTACGGCTGCGGACACCTGAGTGTGGAATGAGCAGCCCTTTCCTACCGCACAGAGTAGTTCTTTGCAGGGTCTGGCTTCAAGGCTGGTTTCATGGGGATGTGACCTGTGTAGTCTCACAGGGCCCCACACTTAGAGGGACCCTGAGCTTGGTTTAATGCTCTGCAGTCACCATCTTGAAATTCTTAATTGTTCAACAAAGGCTCCCATGTTTTCATTTTGCACTGGGCCCCACAAATTATGTAGCCAGTCCTTCCTGTCACTGTTCATGCCCCTGGACATGCTTGTAGCCAGCCTGGTACTGCTCAAACCACATCTCATATTTAAAGCACTTGGTATTTACTAGTTTTGTTCACACATACTATATCACTTGATTCTCACAAGAGGCCGGTATTACTAGTCCCATTAAAAAAAAAAAAAAAAAAAGTTGTTATTAAGTCCATTCTGACACATGGCAAGCCCATGTGTTGCAAAGCTGAACTGCACTCTAATCGGGTTTCAATGGCTGGTTTTTTGGAAGTAGATTGCCAGGTGTTTCTTCTGAGGCATCTCTGGGTGGACTCGAACCTCCAACTTTTGGGTTAGCAGCCAAGCATGTTAACCATTTGTACCACCCAGAGACTCCCATTTACTAGTTGAGAAAACTACACAGCTAGAAAGTGACAGAACTTGTACTTGAACTCAGTGCACCCAAGCCCTATTCCATCCGCTATGGAACTACTCCATTTTGGTTTCAGAATACTTTCAAGGGCAGTTTGGTACAGAAAGGGTGTATTATTTTAAGAGTCAGAACGCTCGGTGGAATGGACCTCTACCATTTCATGGCCACCTACTACCTTTTGAATAGCTTTCCATCAGTTTTGAAAAATTCTCAGCCATTATCTGTTCAAATATTGTTTCTGCCCCTTTTCTTCTTTCCTGCTGTGGCTATAATTGAAATACATGTAAGACTTTCTCACTCCATTCCCTTCTGTTTTTTCGATCTTTTGTCCTCCCATCCTTTGTTCTGATAAGTTTCTTCTATTTTTCAGTTCATTACTTCTCACTTCAGCTTTTTTTTTTTTTAGTCTGCTCTTAAACCTATCCATTAAGCTCTTATATTTTGGTTGTTCTTTAGTTCTAGAATTTCTGTTTGGTTCTTTTTCACAGCTGCTATGTCACTTCTTATACCTTCTAGTTCCCTGCTATAATTTTCAAGCTTGGCTTTTCTCTCCCTAAACATGGGACATGTAGTTATTTTATCGCATCATCTAAAACAGGCACAGGTGTGAATGAGGCGTCTCAAGTGCTGCTCCTCTCAATCTGAAGACCTGTGAATTGAAGAGACAACTAATCTGCTCCCCATACGCCCAACATACCATGGTGAGGAGGGGAAAGGAAAATTGCTATAGACACCTCCATTCAAAAAGGAGAGATTAAAAAAAAGAAGAAGAAACAAAAAGGAGGAAATGGCAGCACACAGCAGGCACAGGTCCATAGTAATACTGACATCCAGCTTGGCACAGTTCCTTGATTAGGTCCCAGTTCTCCGGATAGTGAGACGTCTTACATGGCAATTGGCTTCTCCCAGAGCCAGAACATGGAAACTGCCAGATCTTCTTAAGGCTTAGGCCAGAACAGACACATCACTTCTGCCACATTCTATTGTTTAAAGCAGGTCACAGGGTCAGCTCAGAGTCCAAAAGAGAACAAGAGGCATACATACCCAGAGCCATGGTTCACTGGGGGCCATCAAAGTAATTGTCAGCCACAACGGTGGTTTATCAGAGTCTCTAATCTTGATAGGCCCCGAGCTCTGATTTTGTACCTAGTCCCAAAATGCTTTCAAAAGCATAGGTCAGCCTCTCTGCTGCCTTTTTCAGATTAGCAAATGCCCTTGG